AAACGCAATAGATATGGCTTCATGACAGACTGAGAACGATAGCTTAAATTCAACAGCAGAACATTTTTGACATTTAGAAAACAAACAACAAAAAGGAGTGAAATCAACGAGAGAAACACCAAGCACATGTGAACGTGTGATTGTGGGATTTCACTCCATCCGATGCTCATTTGGTAAACAGAAACTTTGGTAAAGTGAAAATAAATACACACAAATTATTCATAAAACCCCCAAAACATCCCGTTGTTATCAAGTATTCCGGTTTGCGTCGCTGCTGCTACTTCATTGATCACACGTCGCTGTTCCTTCCAGAAATACGAATAAATAAGCTCAATTTAACCTCATTTGGCTTCTGTTCTGTACAACAATCATAAATGTAAACTGAGACAGACTGAGCGCGACTTAAGGCAGTAAAAAAACCAAATTTAAATACAGGAGGAACCCAGCAGTGGACTGAATGATGCAAATGGTCCCAGCAGGTTTATTTGGGTGGCAGGGGGTTGTCGGGGGTTGCTGGAGACGCCACGTCCTTGTAACAGTTATCGATCTGCTCCTTGTACATCTTCATCACCACCGGCCGCTTCAGCTTCATGGTGGGGCCTGCAGGCAAAGAGGATTCGTGCTGTTTAACTCCTGCGAGGTGCAGCGTGACTGCAGCCTGAGCCGTACCAGCGCATCACCACACGCATCCTCCTGCTGTAACTTATGTTTCTCTGTAACGGACTTATTTGAGCTACCGTACTCAATATCTCATGTGTTTTAGCTCCAAAAAGGCAGGAAATACCCAAATGTGAGTAACTGTGACTACAAATAGATGTGAAAACATCATCATCATCGTGCATCTTATTAAATGTCGTGTCAAAGCCGTTGTCTAATAAAATAAACCGCGCATTCACTCACCCAGCTCTCCTCCGCCGACAGAGAAGTCTCGATCCAGGACGACCCACTTCTGAACGCGCTGAGCGTTGGAAGTGGACTTCTCGTTGACTCTTTTGATGCCCTCCTGGATGGCAGCGTTGACCGCAGGGTCTCGTCCGCCCGAGATCTCGGAGACGCGCGTGGCCTTGCTGCCCAGCTGCCTGCACAACTCCACAGCTTCTGGCGTCAGCTCGTCCTGTGGATCGCCCGTGTCTGGGTTCACTTGGCACTGGAGGGTGAGGAAAAAAATCAAATAAATATCAGAAACCAAAACAGCATGATTCTGAAAATCCCAACGGTGTAGTTTCTCAAAGCGACCACCAGGTGTCAGTGCTCCTTTCCTCACTCTGTTAAAGCAGCTGCACTGATGCAGTGTGCATCCCCCCTCACTCCTCCCCTGTTCTCACTGTCTGAATCTTTACCTTGATGGTGAGCAGCATGGACAGAAACTTCCTCTTGTCTCCGATCAGCATGGCGTTGCTAATCAGCGGCACGGCCTCCTTCACCGCATCCTCTATGGGGACGGGAGGGATGTTCTCGCCTCCGGCTGTGATGATCAGCTCTGTGAACGAAAAGAAGAACAAACCTGAAGCAATCGGCCTGTAACAGGATATAAGACTGAAAGGAGAACTGATGCTCTTCATTTAAATAGATAAATAAAAATCTGCTTCAGTTCCAGCAGAGTGCGATTTACCTTTAATCCGCCCGGTGATGAAGAGGAACCCGTTCTCGTCTTGCTTGCCCAGGTCACCCGAGTGCAGCCAGCCCTCCGCGTCCAGCGCCTCCTCCGTCTTGTCGGGCATATTGAGGTAACCCATAAAGACGTGGCGTCCCCAGAAGCAGATCTCGCCGTTTTCCTCCTCGTCTTTGTTGTGCAGCTTCGTTTTGCACCCCGGGAGCTCGATACCGCAGCTGCAAGAGAGCAGTCGTGTAACTCACCGGCGAGTATCGGTCGTTCCCCGCGAGCCGTCAAACCAATGCAAAGAGAAAAACGTACCTGGTGAGCTTGAAGGCATCGTGGCGGGAGATGGTGTGAGGGCCGCTGCTCTCGCTCATGCCGTACAGCTCGCACAGAGGGATGTTGAGGCTGAGGAAGAACTGCAGGGTGTCTTTGGTGATGGGGGCGGCGCCCGTGTAGCACTTGGTGCAGCGGTCCAGGCCCAGGGCCTTACGCACCTTTTTGAACACAAGCTTTTTGGCTATGTGATAGCTGACCGGAGCGCTGCCTGGTGCCGCGTTCCTGAGGAGAAAGAGAGAGAACGCAGCGTGAGGTGGAAGGCTGCTCCAGCTGATGAAAATAAATAAATAGTTACAGTGTTTCAACAACAATCCTGCATCTGCACTGATGTTCCACAAGAACATCTCAGCAAACTGAAACAGGAACCTCCCACCTCTGAGGAAACGATTCAGCCCCTTCTTAAAGAAACAAAAACACACTCACTGGTTCAGCTTGCTCAGATTGGTCCGCAGACCCACATCTTTGGCCCAGGCGGCCACTTTCCTTCGCACGGTGGAAGACTTTGCTCCAACAGCTTTCATCTTCTCCTGCATCTTCTCCCAGACACGTGGGACGCCCATGAAGGCCGTCGGACGCGCCTCCTTCAAAGTGTCTACCAGCGAACCCTGTAAGTAAACAAACAAACAGCCTTAATGTTTGGCATGATTGTAGCTAAAAGACTTCTTCTTAGAGCCTGGAAATCACCATCTCCTCCATTGTTCAGGGTTTGGCTACGTGAGATGAAGCTTGTTTGTGAAGAGGTTGAAGAGGTTCGTTATCGTTTGGCTGACACCCATTTTAAGTTTGTTGAAATCCGGGGCCCTTTTCTCAATCATATTAATGGGAATTTAACATAAACTTGACTGCACTTTGTGTTTGTGTGAAGCTGCACCTCTGCCGGACCCTGATTCCTTCCTGGACATGTTTCCCACATCTTCTGGTCGTGGTGAACTCTCTGTTGCCCTGTCTAACCTCACACAGAAGATCATCTTTTTTGGACATTGGTGTTTCTTTTGAACTTTTGATTTGTACTGGCTAACTGGTGTATTTTTATTTATTTATTTATTTTGTTTTTATTTTTTTCCTTTTCTTTCCTGTTTGGGGTCTTTTTTTTGTTGTGTTTGGTTTCTGTTTTTTCTTTTTTTCGTCTGTGCTTAAATGTTGTTTTTGAATCTTATGTCCTTTGTCTGGTGTGACGTTATGTAACTTTGAACTTAAAATCTTATAAATAAACATTAAATTAAAAAAAAAAGAAGAAACAAACAAACAGGAAAATACAAATAAAAATCAAACATTTTCACAACTTACACAAAAAGAGGATTTTGACCCTGAGGAGAGAGAGGACGTGTGAAAGAAACAGAAGCAGTTTGTGTAACAGACGGACTAAAGAGCCACGTGAGGAACCAGAGGGGGGCGCTATGCTACTTTTCTGTTAATTTTACATCATTTAAATTACTGATGGGTATTTGTAATCAGACACTTGGGTAAACGCTTGGTTCTTGTTCTATAGCAGCCACACAGCAGCGTACAGCAGGCCTGTTATATTGACCGTGCTGTGCAGGTGAACCTATTAAACGGGCTGATGAGCGTTTATTTCGTGCGCCGGCGTGTTTGTGTTGTCTGTGGTGTGCGTCTCACCTTCAGGGCGTCGGGCTGAGCAAAGTAAGTCACCCCTCCCATCTTCATGGTGATCCAGATGTCGACCATCTGGGCCGCGATGTGGCTCAGAGGCAGGTAGCTGACCACCACCTCCTGAGCCTGGGAGGCCGCGGCGAGACCCACGTGCTTGGCGGTGGAGTAAGCGGTCCAGGTCAGCTGAGAGAGAGTAAAGATGAGGTGATTGTTGTGTTTCACATCTTTACTGTAACAGTAGATCAAACTAATCAGCTGATTGGAGGCACATTGGCTCAGAAAGCTCCTGAGGATGTGAGGATGGGTGGAGCTTACGTTGTCGTGGCTGAGCATGACTCCTTTGGGCTGGCCCGTGGTTCCTGAGGTGTAAATGAGCGAGCAGCACTGGTTGGGCTTCTGGCTGGCGATGATGGCGTCGAGGGGAGCGTCGGGCTCGTCGCGTCCGAGCTCCAAGAACTCGGCCCACTGCGGCACGCGAAGAAAAATAACAACACTTCGATTGTGCCTCTTGTGCTCAGCAGCTTCTTTTTATGCACGGACGTGTGCGCTTACCGTGTACAGGTTTGGTTTCTTCTCTTTTAGTTCGTCTTTGTACTGGACGATGGCTTTCAAGTGTGGCAGCTGGTCTTCAACCTGTGGACGGATGTGAAGACGATCAGTAAATCCACTCGTGGGATTACGACTTTTACAGCTTGGTTTAATAAACGCACATTTATGGTTTTTTGTTCAGCGTGTTGCTCCACATCCACGTGCAACTCACTCTCATCTTACCTGAAGGATTTTCTGCAGCTGTTTGTGGTTCTCCACCACGATGATATTAGCCTCGGAGTTTTCTGCTACGTACTGGCACGCCTCAGGGGAGTTGGTGGTGTAGATGCCCACAGCAAACCCACTGTGAAACAGAGACACGTCACACAGTCAGCTATAGAGCCGTTTACTTCTCTATAATGTTCCAATCGAATCAATATCCAGTCATGTTGATTAAGAGGCCTTCCATTTGCAGATATGCATTTGATAAGTGAATATAGATATTGTTCATTTGCTTCCAGTCGCCATGGAAACAAGAGCTTGCAGATGAATCAGAAGCGCAGAGTTACATTCAAGTCATACGATGGATGAACTGAGCACACTTGGTGGAAACGTATCAGCACATGAATCAGGTTTGTGTTGCATCTGTGCAGCTGCGTAAGTTTAGTGTGACCAAAGGTATAAGTCAGCCAATCAAGTGAGAGCTTTCACCAAGGTACATTTAAGACAATTTGTTATGACACAGAATGCAATTAAACATTTATTTTAATGGCTGCAAAAAAAAAATATATAATAATAATAATAATAATAATAATAATAATAATAATAATGATAATAATAATAATAAAAATAATAATAATAAAAAATAATAAATAATAAAAATAATAAATAATAAAAATTAATAAAAATAATAAATAAAAATAATAAATAATAAAAATAAATAATAATAATAATAATAAAAATAATAAATAATAATAATAAAAATAATAAATAATAATAATAACTTTCGCAGTTATTTGCTGAAAGTGTGACTTGACTCTACAGGACGTCACTGTAAATAAAACTGACCTGAACTGAATCAGCTGCAGACTGAAGTTATTTTCGTGGCACTTTTCATACGTAAAAAACAAAACTATGTTCATCAAAACGACGCGCAGGGCTATTCCCAGCAATGGGTGGAGAACATGCAGCATGCAAATTAAAAGCAAATCGCTTTAACCCTGCATTTCAACAAAGCAGCAATATGTTAAATGTTTGCTCAGACTGAGCTGCAGATGCCCGAAAATTCAGGACATCCCGATGTTACCACAGGAGAACCCGTCCTCCCCTTTCTTAACAATCTGATGATAATGGGTGAACAGAACCCACCTGACCTGTGACAGCACCGTTTTACTAGAACACAGAGCTCCCGCTCTAAAACTCAGTGAGATATGATGCAGGATGCGATTCAAATGTTTTGCTCCGGTGTGGAAATCTGAGCCTTAAACGGAAGCTTCCAAACACGACCTGATTGCATTCATCACGACCGGTTTGTTGACATTCCAGCTGACCTTTTTGTTGTGATCATTAAGCAGGGAGCGGCGTTCAAGCATGCACAGTATCGGTATCAGAGTGCGTGGAAAGAATGAGCTTCTCTATAAACAGATTTAAGAGTTAAGAATCAAAGCAAACATGAAACTGTCACCAGAATCGGCGTGAAAAGATAATGGATTGGATTTATAAAGCGCTTTTCAAGGCACCCAAAGCGCTTTACAATGCCACTATTCATTCACACACTGGTGGAGGCAGCTACAGTTGTAGCCACAGCTGCCCTGGGGCAGACTGACAGAAGCGAGGCTGCCATATCGCGCCATCGGCCCCTCTGGCCAACACCAGTAGGCGGTAGGTGAAGTGTCTTGCCCAAGGACACCACGACCAGGACAGAGTGCCCGGGGATCGACCTTCCGGTTACAGATACGCTCCCGAACCCCCTGAGCCACGGTCGCCCGATCACAGGATGACAGATGTTTGGTGATGTCAGCAGCTGAGCCTCAGCCAATCAGTGCCTTTAGACTCTTACTTTGGCTCGAGGGTCTCGGTTTCTTGGAATTTCTTGCACTCAATTAGCGTGTTGGATAACAAGCATGGGTTCATTCATAGTGAATACTTCTGCAGCAAAGCTGAGGAGCTTGTGATTCCTGTTATGTGATCAGTGCACAGACGGAGAAATAAGCCTTAAAAAGCACATCAGCATTATCAGGAAAATGCACTGATTGGATGCACAGCGGATCAGTTCAGAAGAGGAATCGAATAATTGCATGTAAGAGCACGAGCTCTGGTAAAGTGAATCAAAGTTGAGTGCAGCGCCCGAGTGAACACGCATAGTTTCAACCACCCATCAATCCATCAAAAAGACGGTACTCTGGCCCACAGCACCAGCAGACGCGCTGCCACACGTAAACATCAGCGTGTAGATAAGAGCCACAGGTACAGTGAGCAGGAGGGTTAGGGTCGTGTAAAGGAAATATTCAGGGCTGACGATGAAACTCACCCCGCCAAAATGGCTCCGATGTCTGCGACGAACCACTCAACGGAGTTGAAGCCCAGGATCCCAACGCCGTGGTAACGCTCCAGTCCGAGCTGTAAAAGCGAGAGCGCACTTAGAGCACAAGTCTCACGTCCATCGTTGCGATTGTTGTTACAAATCACTTGTTTAATATTTACCTTTTGTTATTACTTCGGGGTATTTTGTATTTGACAGGATAAAGAAGGGGGCGGTCTGCTTGTTACAAACTAGAGTGCAGACAAACGCACCAGATTCAGCCTGACTTTCTTTTCACAAACACAGACAGTTTGAGGCGTCAGGTCTTCCAGCTGATGCTCGTGGGACCTGAGGTGCAGGTGCATTCAGCTGCAGCCAGCATTCATGAAGTCGTTCATTCATCGTTGAAAGATAATAATCAGGTGTAGCTGAGCGTGTTACTATCTGAGCTTCATTTATCAAGTGAGCGAGGGCGAAGTTCAGCTCTACGATTTGGAGTCGAGGTTGGTTTGTGTGTGTGAGACGCAGAGAGAAACGTCCGAGTTTGTGTGTCGGTAGAAATGAGTCAGCCTGCTGTCTAACAATGACATGCTCTGTGCTGCTGAGGCCTCGCCGTCTGGCCTGACATTTCAACCCTTTGGTGCGGCGACACGTGCTGTCTAGACTCGGCACAAAGACGAACGGGCGCTAAAAC